ACTACCGCCGCCTCCGCCGCCTCCTCCACCGCCACCACCTCCGCCACCTCCGCTCCCACCGCCACCGCCGCCGCCGCCTCCGCCTCCTCTGCCGCCACCGACACCTCCACCCCCACCTCCACTCCCACCACCACCCCCACTCCCCCCGCCGCCTCCACCTCCACCTCCACCGCCCCCGCTTGCTCCTCCAGCGCCCCTGCCCCCCTTGCCCTTGCCAGAGCGGCGTCTCCCGCTAGGGGCAGACGCCGCACCGACCGACTCAAGACCAAAGAGGTCAGCCGCAGCAGCAGAGGCAACGGAGGGCAGAAGGGGGGAGGGGGAACACCCCTCAAAGATGGGGGTGCGCGGGTCACCACGAGAGGCCCCTACAGCGACTATGCTCTTTTCGGCCGCTAGGAGGGACTTCTCGAGGAGGTCAACAGTGAGAGTGGTGGGATAGACTGAGAGGAAGTGGTCCCTGACTACGCGAAGGGAGTCAGGGAGGCGAGTGACTAAGTAGTAGAGAGTGATGTACATGGGGGGGGGGGTTCTTGGCGCAGAATTCAGCAGGAAGCGCAGCGCGGTAGCGAGTGTCACTAGTGCGGAGGTGCGTAATGAGGTCAGCGACTGTGGAAAAGGCAGCAAGGTCAGGGAAGAGGTACGGTAGCATGAGGCGGCTCAGTGCAGCAGTGGCAGGGGAAGAGTAGCGCGCAACTACAGCGTCGTACAAGGTCTGAGCACTCTTGTACTGACTAAAGTGCGCGCGCTCAGTGGTAGGAAGGTGGCGACGCACAGCAAGACGTGCAGTAGCATCGCGAGTGGCCCACTGTGAGCGAACGGTGGCGTCGGCATCGGCAGCAGGGGCAGGGGAAGCACCAGAGGTGAGGTCAAAGAGGGAGAGACCGTCTGCCCTATCGCACTGTAAGAAAAGCTGCAGGTCATCTATCCAGACGTCAAAGTCAATGGCGTGACCCTCAGCGTCAAAAGTGAGAACACTGGGGGTAGCCATGACAGCAGTATACTAGCAGCGCTAACTGTAGAGCAGGGGCAGTGCGGTGACAGAGGCGCTGCGCTCACCAGACAGGGCGATTCGGGCAGCTTGGGCGGCTCGGCAGCAACTGCAGCTCGGCGGCACCCGCGGCTCGGCTTCTCAGCTGCTCAGGCGGCTCAGGCGGCTCGGGCGGCTCGGGCGGCTCGGGCGGCTTGGCTGCGTAGGCGTTCGGGCGGGGCCGTAGGTAGGACGGCGGGGTCGGGTCGAAGGTAGGGCGACGGGGCCGGTGCGAAGGTAAGGCGACGGGGCCGGGGCCGGGCCGTAGGTAGGGCGACGGGGCCGGGGCCGGGTCGTAGGTAGGGCGACGGGGCAGGGGCCGGGCCGTAGATAGGGCGACGGGGCCGGGTCGGAGGTAGGGCGACGGGGCCGGTGCGCAGGTAGGGCGACGGGGCCGGGGCCGGGCCGAAGGTAGGGCGACAGGGCCAGGGCCGGGTCGAAGGTAGGGCAACGGGGCCGGGGCCGGGTCGTAGGTAGGGCGACGGGGCCGGGGCCGGGTCGAAGGTAGGGCGACGGGGCCGGTGCGCAGGTAGGGCGACGGGGCCGGGTCGCAAGTAGGGCGACGGGGCCGGGTCGAAGGTAGGGCGACGGGGCCGGGGCCGGGTCGTAGGTAGGGCGACGGGGCCGGGGCCGGGCCGTAGGTAGGGCGACGGGGCCGGGCCGTAGGTAGGGCGACGGGGCCGGGTCGAAGGTAGGGCGACGGGGCCGGGGCCGGGCCGCAAGTAGGGCGACTAGGCCGGGGTCGCAAGGGGGGCGACGGGGCCGGGGTCGCAGGTAGGGCGACGGGGCCGGGGCGCAGGTAGGGCGACGAGGCCGGGGCGCAGGTAGGGCGACGGGGCCGAGGCGCAGGTAGGGCGACGGGGCCGGGGCGCAGGTAGGGCGACGGGGCCGAGGCGCAGGTAGGGCGACGCGGCCGGGGCGGAGGTAGGGCGACGGGGCCGGGGCCTTAGGGTGACGAATCAGGGGCCGCTAAGGCGGCTCGACGAAGTCAGAGAGGGGAGCGCGACTCGGGCTGAGCGCGCTCCGGGCAGGAAAAAAAAATTGACTTGGTGGGCCCTAGGCACAGTTCCCACGAGGGAACCTGCTCGATACCATGAGAAAGTAGAAACGAGAATGAATGACCTATGAATGAACTGAGTACAAGTACTGACCCTAATTGGGTTGTACCCCTTATGGGCTACCCCACTATAGCCTACACAATAAGCACAAGCTATATGTTCTGACACGTATCCCTTCCAGCGGATCAGGAACTCGAGGGTCTTGCCGCCGCGGTGTCGATGAGTGAGAATGCGCTCCACTTCGTACTCTGGTTCATCCTGTATGAGAACATGTGGTGGCGGCGGTAGCTGCCGTCCCTGGAACTGTTGGTTGGGGTCATTGTAGGGTTTCACTAGCTGTACATGGAAAGCGTTGTGAAGCTTCCACGTGTCTGGTAAGCGCAAGCGGAATGTTACTGGTGTCACCTGTGCCTCAACGAGAAAAGGACCACAGAAGCGAGGCCGGAGTTTGGATGGGAGGTGAGATAGGTTCAAGTTGCGCGTGTTAAGAAGCACCTGATCTCCGACTGCTACTGAGTGATCTCGTCGCTTGCGATCGGCATACTGCTTCTGGGAGTTCTGCATCGTGGTGAGTCGTCGCTGAGTCTTCTCCCACAGCTGCTGCATAGTGGTGACGAAGTCATGTGCGGCTTGGACATGTGCCGGTGTGGTTGGCTGCTGTGGTGTGAGTGGTTCCCGTCCGTAACATAGGAAGAAATGAGTTTTCCTTGTGGCCGCATGTGACGCGTTGTTGTAAGCAAACTCCAGGGTCGGTAATTGTGTGTCCCACTAGCTGACGTCGTCTTTGCAAGCTAAGCAAAGTCCTGTGATGAAGTCGAGGCTAACGACCTGCCATGGCTGCTCCGGTACGGGTAGAGGCTGAAGTAACTCTGCTTTTTTCCGCTTGCTGCTCTTCATCCGCTGACACGTGTCGCATGAGGTGACGAACTGCTGCACGTCTGCTGCCATTTCGGGCCAGTAGTAATACTTCGCTATCCCTGCTAATATTTTGTTGCTCCCGAAATGTCCCGCGTAAGGTACGTCGTGAAACTCCTCCAATAGGATCTGCCGTAGCGGGGCGTAATTTGGTACCCAAATCTTTCCTGAACCCTTCTTTATAGCTAAGTATTCTCCCACCGTAACAGCTTCTTAGTCTGCGCTGTAGCGATCTCTGCGTCCACGGAGTACCCATGTTGGAATAGACCCTTGAGCAGAGGGTTCATCCCGTCGTGCTCGATGCCTGCTACATGTCCGGGGCGGGTCAACGCATCTGCCTTGTTGTGTAGCTCGGGCTTGTAGACGATGTTGTAGTGGAAGTGAGTTTCCAGGAAGTCCACCCACCGCACCTGTCGTCGTGAGAGCGTCGGCTGGGACTTCAAGTATTTGAGACTGCAGTGGTCAGTATAGACTTTAGTCTTGGCTCCCTCTAGGTAGCACCTCCACGCCTTGAAGGCTATGACTATCGCTAAGGCTTCCTCGTCATGGATGGGGTAGTTCAGATCTGCTCTAGGTAGCTTCTTTTTGAGTTAAGCGAAAGGCTGCAAACGCGTCCGTGATCTTGCATCAGTACTGCTCCGACTGCTTGGTCACTAGCGTCTGCTTCCACCACGTAGTCCTGTCAGAACATTATAGCTTATGCATATTGTGTAGGCTATAGTGGGGTAGCCCATAAGGGGTACAACCCAATTAGGGTTAGTACTTGTACCCAATTCATTCATAGTTCATTCATTCCTTGTTTCTTCTCATGGTATCGAGCAGGTTCCCTAACGGGGACGATTCCTAGGGCCCACCACTACGATTTTTTTTTTCCTGCCCGGAGCGCGCTCCACTCAGCCCGAGTCGCGCTCCGTGTGCTCTCCCTACCGGCGCGCCCTCGCTAGGCCCCTCACGGCCCCGTCGCGTCGCCCCTAGCGGCCCTCTCACGGCCCGTCGCGCCGCCCTTACGGCCCGTCGCGCCGCCCTTAGTGGCCTGTCGCGCCGCCCCTTTCAGCGGCCCAGTCGCGCCGCCTCCTTCGCGGCCCCATCGTACCGCCCTCAGCGGCTCATCGCCGCCTCCTTCAGCGGCATCGCCGCCTCCCCGTTGCGGCCCGTCGCCGCCTCCCCCCTGCGGCCCGTCGCCGCCTCCCCCCTTGCGGCCCGTCGCCGCCTCTTACAGCGGCCTCACCGACCCCGCGCGCCGCCCTAGCGGCCTCTTGCGCCGCCTGTCGGCACCGCTTGCTGCCCTTGCGGCCCTTCGAGCCGCCCGTCGGCCCACCGTGAGCCGCCCTAGTGGCATCGACGCCGCCCTTCCCGGCCCCGACGCCACCTTGGCTGGCCCCTGCACCTGCTCCTACGGCCCCGGCGCCTGCTCCTACGGCCCCGGCGCCTGCTCCTACGGCCCCGGCGTCTGCTCCTACGGCCCCGGCGCCTGCTCCTACGGCCCCGGCCCCTGCTCCTACGGCCCCGGCGCCTTCTCCTACGGCCCCGGTGCCGCCCTTCACGGCTCCGACGCCGCCTCCTACCGGCCCCACCGCCGTCCCTGATCAGGAGCCGCAGCCGCCAAGCCGCCCAGCGACCGAGCCACCAGGCCGCCGAGCCGCCCAGCAACCGAGCAGCCGAGCCGCCTAGCCGCCGAGCCACCCAGCAACAGAGCCGCCGAACCGTCTAGCAGCCGAGCCGCCGAGCCGCCCAGCAGAGGAACCGCCGAGCCGCCCAGCAGCCGAGCAGCCGAGCAGCCGAGCCGCCGAGCAGCCGAGCAGCCGAGCCGCCGAGTCGCCGAGCAGCCGAGCCGCCGAGTCGCCGAGCAGCCGAGCTGCCGAGCCGCCGAGCCGCCCTGCCGCCGAGCCACCCGAGCCGCCGAGCCGCCCTGCCGCCGAGCCGCCCTGTCCAGTAAGAGCAGCGCCTTTACCCCTGCACCGCCCTTACCCTACTGTTCCTACTGCTAGTCTACTACTGTCATGGCTACCCCTAGTGTCCTAGCTTTTGACGCTGAGGGTAGGGCCATTGACTTTGACGTCTTGGTCGACGACCTGCAGCTTTTCTTACAGTGCGATAGGGCAGACGGCCTCTCCCTCTTTGACCTCACTTCTAGTGCCTCTCCTGCCCCCGCTGCTGATGCTGACGCCACTATTCACTCACAGTGGGCCACGCGCGATGCTGCTGCACGTCTTGCTGTGCGTCGCCACCTGCCTACCTCTGAGCGTGCGCACTTTAGCCAGTACAAGAGTGCTCAGACCTTGTAAGACGCTGTAGTTGCACGCTACTCCTCCCCTGCCACTGCTGCACTGAGCCGCCTCATGCTACCGTACCTCTTCCCTGACCTTGCTGCCTTTCCCACAGTCGCTGACCTCATTACGCACCTCCGCACTAGTGACACTCGCTACCGCGATGCGCTTCAAGCTGAGTTCTGCGCCAAAACCCCCCCCCCCCCCCCCATGTACATCACCCTCTACTACATAGTCACCCGTCTCCCTGACTCTCTTTGAGTAGTCAGGCACCACTTCCTCTCAGTTTGCCCCACCACTCTCACCGTTGACCTCCTCGAGAAGGCCCTCCTAGCAGCAGAAAAGAGCATAGTCGCTGTAGGAGCCTCTCGTGGTGACCCTCGCACCCCCATCTTTGAGGGGTGTTCCCCCTCCCCTCTTTTGCCCTCTGTTGCCTCTGCTGCTGCGGCCGACCTCGTTGGTCTGGAGTCGGTCGGTGCGGCGTCTACCCCTAGTGGGAAGCGTCGCTCTGGCAAGGGCAAGGGGGGCAGGGGCGCTGGAGGAGCTAGCGGGGGCAGTGGAGGCGGCGGTGGAGGCAGTGGAGGGGGTGGGGGTGGTGGTGGGAGTGGTGGCGGGGGTGAAGGTGTCGGCGGCGGCATGGAAGGCGGAGGCGGCGGCGGCGGTGGCGGTGGGAGCGGAGGTGGTGGAGGTGGCGGATGTGGAGGAGGCGGTGGCAGAGGAGGAGGAGGAGGAGGTCGTGGCTCTTTGCAGAGGAGTGGCTCCGGTGGTGGTCAGCGCCAGCAGCAGCAGCGCAGTCGGGAGACCCTGTCCCCTCAGCAGCTTCGTGAGTGGTACGCTGCACGCCAGCGGGGTGGGGGTACTGGTCCGTGCACCTACGTCGTACGCACCGGCGACCGTGCGGGTGAGCAGTATGGGGGTGCGCACCCCACCCAGCGCTGCTTTGGCTGCCTGACGGACGCTTGGCGTCACCAGTTCCCTGAGGCCACTGAGATCCCTCGCTGGGGCGAGCTGTCTAGGGCAGGGGTAGCTATCTTTGACCTTGACTTTGATGCTATTCTTGCTGCTATGTATGCTGTGTCTATTAGTGATGAGGGTGACTCTTACCGGTATTTCCCGCCTGACCCGAGCATTGAGACTGCTGCTCTAGGTGCTGGTGAGGCTGCTGCTCTTGGTGCTAGCGAGGCTGCTGCTCTAGGTGCTAGTCGGTCCTAGAGGCGGTCCTGCTGGGGGTACTACTGGTGCTGCTGGAGGTACTGGAGCTGGAGCTGCTACTGGTGTTGGTGCTGCCACTAGGGGTGCTGGTGCTGTCCCTGCTGTGTCTAGAGTCGCCGCGCGGCCTCGGCCATACTTCGTTCCGCTCCTTCAGCAGGTTCTTGGTCTCCCGTCTTCTAATGGTCCTCCTCCTCCCTTAGAGTGTCCAAAGCCTGTTCCGTCGTAGTTACAGTTACAGCCGGCCTCCCCACTGCCTGCTCCGTCTCCCTACACTGGTCCTACTGGAGGTCTTGCTGAGCGTCGTGAGCCTGCGTCTCGCCCTGCGTCGCCTGTCCGTGCTGCTCGCACTAGTGGTCACGGTTCGCGTCAGCGTCCTCCTCCTGACCCTGGCACGCACCGGATGTCTCTGCGTCCGTCCATTGCTCCTCTGCGTGCCCCTTTGCCTTCTCCTCCCGAGTCTTCTCTTCCTGCTCTTGCCGACCCGGAGTCGGACTCTCTTCGTGCTGCAAGTCCTACTGTCACGCATCTCCTTGCTACGGTTGTCACTGACCCTTCCTTTGAGTCCACTGCTGTGTCTGCCCTAGTTGCTGAGCTCGTCGACTTTGCTGCTCGCTGTCGCCTAGACTACGCCGCCAGTCTTGTTGCTGAGTCTGAGTCTGTCTGTCCTCCCTCCGTCGGGGGTGAGTGTGCCCTTGGCACGGACGTCCTCGAGGACAGGCAGGAGGAGTTCCAGTGCTTGGCCGCTGCTTCACCTCATCTCGTGTCCGTACTGCTTACCCCTGAGGGAGACCCAGATGCACTTGACATCCCGACTCCGCGCTCTTACGCGGAGGCGATAGAGGGTCCCTACTCTTCTCAGTGGCAGGCAGCTATGGATGCAGAGATGGCTTCCTGGAAGTCCACAGGCACCTACGTTGACGCTGTTCCCCCTCCTAGGGCGAACATCGTCAGTGGCATGTGGATTTTCAGGGTGAAGCGACCGCCGGGTTCTCCACCTGTCTTCAAGGCGCGTTACAAGGCTCGTGGCTTCAGTCAGCGGCAGGGAGTTGACTACTTTCAGACCTTCTCTCCCACCCCGAAGATGACCACTCTTCGGGTACTGCTGCACATAGCTGCTCACCGTGACTACGAGCTACACTCTCTTGACTTCAGCACTGCTTTCTTGCAGGGCAGCCTGCACGAGGAGATCTGGCTGCGCCGCCCACTTGGCTTCACTGGGACTTTTCCTCCTGGCACCCAGTGGAGCCTCCGGCGGCCACTCTATGGTCTCCGCCAGGCACCGCGTGAGTGGCACGACACACTGAGGACTACACTTGCGGCTGTTCTACGGCCTCTACTGCCGACCCGTCGCTGTTTCTGCGCACCGACACTTCTTTGCCGCCGTTCTACATCCTCGTGTACGTCGACGACTTGGTTTTTGCCACAGTTGACACTGCTGGACTCGCCCACGTGAAGTCCGAGCTGCAGAAGAGACACACGTGCACTGACCTGGGTGAACTGCGCAGCTACCTTGGCTTGCAGATCACTCGGGACAGAGCATGCCGCACCATTACCCTGACTCAGTCACACATGGTGCAGCAGGTACTTCAGCGCTTCGACTTCACGTACTCCTCGCCTCAGGCCACTCCTCTGCCTACTCGCCACTCGCTCTCAGCTCTGCCTTCGGATGAGTCCGTAGAATCGAGTGGCCCGTACCCAGAGCTTATTGGCTGCCTCATGTACCTGATGACCTGCACACGACCTGACCTTGCATACCCTCTTAGCATTCTCGCACGCTATGTTGCTCCTGGGAGACACAGACCGGAGCACATGGCTGCAGCGAAGAGGGTGTTGCGCTACTTGTGCAGTACGTCGGGCATGGGGCTTGTGCTTGGAGGGCAGAGTCCAGTGGTCCTTACTAGGCACGCAGACGCTTCTTGGGCTGACGACCAGGCTACGCAGCGGTCGTCACAGGGTTACACCTTCAGCCTTGGTTCCGGCTCTGTTTCGTGGCGGGCTAGTCGCTCGTCTTCTGTTCTCGGCTCCAGTTGTGAGGCTGAGATCTACGCAGGAGCCATGGCTGCACAGGAGCTTCGCTGGCTCACCTACCTGCTGACTGACCTTGGAGAGCCGCCTCGTTCTCCCCCACTGCTGTACGTAGACAACAAGGCCATGCTGGCCTTGTGTCGAGAGCAGAGACTAGAGCACAGAACAAAGCACATTGCTCTTCGCTACTTCCTTGCTCGTCAGCTACAGCAGCGTGGTCAGTTGCGGCTTGCGTACGTGGCCTCTGAGGCCAACACTGCTGATGTTTTCACCAAGGCACTTGCGCCTTGTGATCATCAGCGCTTCTATACTCAGCTTGGTCTTGTGCCTGTCTTGCCTCACTTGCTCACTTCTTGACCTTGCTTGTCCTGTCACATATATATACACCTGCTCTTGTTTGCTTAGCCTCATATATATATATGTGCTCCTGCATGTGAACTGGCATTCTCGCCTTGAACTTGTGCTCGGAATGTGTGGTGACTTTGTGATCCACCCTGAGCTTTGCTTTGCTTTGCTTGACTGGTCTTGTGACCCCTTGTTCTCCCCCACTTTGCCGGTTGAAGGCCGAATAGTGCAGCGCCTTTGTCAGGAAGTTGGCCGGCTGGTCAGCGGTCGGGATGTACTTCAGTGAAAACTTCCCACGCTCCACCATATGCTGCAGCCAGGACTGCCGCCGCTCCATGTGCTTGAGGTTGCCCATCAACCCCATGCCCTCAGCGACTGTGATGGCCCACTTGTTGTCCACTAAAAGGACGGTTGGCTTCCCGGCATCCAGCTGCCGGAACTCGGCGAGGAGGAAGCGAAGTCGGCGTCCCTCCTTGCCGGCTTCGGTGGCCGCCACATACTCCGACTCGGTTGACGCCAACGTCGCACACTTGATGCGCTGGCTCGACCAGGAGACTGCGGCTCCTCCGTAGACGAATGCGTAGCCACCCGTGCTCGTCCTGTTCTGCTTGTCACCGGCGTCGTCGGCGTCCACGTAGCCGACCAGCTCCAGCGACTCAAGTCCACCGCCGAACTCCAAGGCGGTGTCACGCATGTTAGCGAGGTAGGCGAGGCAGCGGTCGACCTTGCGCCAGTGCTGATTGCTCCTCACTGTGAGGCTGCTCCCCAGCTTGCTGCAGGCAAAGGCGATGTCCGGCCTCGTCGTCGTCGCCGCGAATAGCAGCGAGCTGACCTTCTGCCGGTACTCCTCCTCCTTGCGCTCCTGTGCCTTCTCATCGTCAATGGTGAGCTCGGCGTAGGCGTCGACCGAGACCGGTGTTTTCGGGGTGCGCCCGTTCTGCTCCTCGTCGATGAAGCGCCTACGCAGCTTATCGGTGTAGCCCTGCTGGTGCAGCCACAGCTTCCCCGCCGACCTGTCGCGGACGATCTCCAACCCGAGGTACTTCTACACCAACGAGATCTCACGCAACTCGAAGGCGGACTCCGGCAGCCCCTTCAGCTCCTTGTTGATGAGGCTACGGATCTCCTCCTCCATGGCGGCCTTCACCGCCGGGCCCTTCCAGCTTGCCAACGCCTCCTTCACCGTCATCGTTGAGATATCCCAACGGTGCTCGGGGTTGGCATGCATGTCGAGGTCGAGCTCCGGAAACTCCTCATCCTCCTCGGCGTCGTCATACGCCAAGTCGTCGTCATCCACATCGTATACTGTGGTGAAGGCAGCGGGGACGAAGAAATTGGGCGGCATCCGAAGTTGGCCTGACTTCCGGGGTTCAGGCGTCACCGCTGCCTGCTTTCATGTAGAGTGTTGCCCAACTGCCTTATTCACCGACTTCACCCAAGTCGGCTGCTCCTCCTCGACTTGTTCCTCCCCTCCCACGTCGACTTGCTGCTCGTCACGTCGACCACCGGCGATGTTCTTGGCCGGCGCCAAAGTCGACGTTCCACTACTCCCCTCATCGCCGGAGGTCGACAACGGGGTCAGCCTGCGCATGTCGGCCACGAGGGGAGGGGCATGGGATGTAGGTAGAGGAGAAGGAGGACGGACGACCTCGGCGTCCTCACCAGCACGCTCACTGACCTTGTGTCGGGAGCAGCGACTGGAGCACAGAACGAAGCACATTGCTCTCCGCTACTTTCTTGCTCGTGAGCTGCAGCAGCGTGGTCAGCTGCGTCTTGCGTACGTGGCCTCTGAGGCCAACACTGCTGATATCTTCACCAAGGCGCTTGCGCCTTGTGACCATCAGCGCTTCTGTACTCAGCTGGGCCTTGTGCCTACCTTGCCGCACTTGCTCACCTCTTGACCTTGCTTGTACTGTTACATATATATATACACCTGCTCTTGCTTGTCTAACCTTTATATATATATATACTCCTGTATGTGAACTGGCCTTGTGGCCTTGAACTTGTGCTCGGAATGTGTGGTGACTTTGTGATCCACCCTGAGCTTGCTTTGCTTTGCTTTGCTTGACTGGTCTTGTGACTCCTTGTTCTCCTCCACTTTGCCTATGGAGGTGTGTCAGAACATTATAGCTTATGCATATTGTGTAGGCTATAGTGGGGTAGCCCATAAGGGGTACAACCCAATTAGGGTTAGTACTTGTACCCAATTCATTCATAGTTCATTCATTCCTTGTTTCTTCTCAAGTCCTTGTGTGGATCGGGTAAGATGAGTGCTGGCGCTGTAGTCAGTGCTGTCTGTAGCTGCTCCATGGTTTGCTGATGAGGAGTATCCTATTCGTAGGGCGTATCCTTTTTCAGTAGGTCGGTCAGTGGCGCTGCTGTCTTAGCTTACTTCGGCACGAACCTGTTGTAGTAGTTGGTGAAGCCTAGGAACTGTTGCAACTC